AATTATGGGGTAAAACAGGACCCCGTGGTTGTTAAACAAAACGTCCTAACCCAACATCCAACCTAACCTAACACCGTGGTATATATTCCCTAGCCAGGGGGCTCTGCCCACTGGGCCCCTGTGGTAAAATATATGCCTAGCCATAGGGCTCCGCCCCCGTGGTAGAATATGCGTCTAGAATTCAACCTTGCAATGTAAACAAGATGATCGACTTAGCCCAAATTGGGGGATCTTCTCTTTTCCTTTATGTATAGGAGCCTTAGGAGGCATTTGCACACATATTGCTATAGAAGAACTTTGTTTTGGTTTGTATTGTTCTATCATTTAATGTACGTTTTATTACCCAACTCTGCCATTACCTTATACTATATATTGTCCGATATTAATGGATAGTTTGTTAATTGAGCATTATTTTGGATGATTATCAGATATAAGGAATATAACAATAATCTGATTAATCTATATAATACTAAATACGTTATCACGAGATAATGTAAAAATGTTATAGTCACCCATAAAATTATAAAGATTTCTATGATGTCAACAAACACTCCATTTTCTATTCCATGATCTGGATAACTATTATAAATAATCATCCTCATAATTCCCATAGTAACAATACTTCCAACAAGTCTTAAACAAATACACATACAACAATTATCATACCTTGAACATAAACAATATAACAGCAACCATTAACAAATACTCGCCTTAGGGTAGGGAAAGAGACCATCTGGACCGAGACACAGCGTTTGGGAATCAGTAAGACCCAGTTTGTTCAGGAGGCGTTTCCCTTTGTCTTTTGTGCGTCGGTACGTCCAGTCCACCTGCAGAAGGAGACAAGGCATGGATTGATAATGGGGGAGAGGAGGTAAAGGAGAGCTAGTATAATGGGAGTAATGGAGGATAATAGATGACGTAAAAGATGGTAAATGGATGTAATAGATGACGTAAAAGATGGTAAATGGATGTAATAGATGCCGTAATAGATGATAAATAGGCGTAAGAAATTATGGAGATCCGATATGAGGAAATAATGCGTATAAGGTTCGCAAAAGACTGCATATCGATAATGTAAGACCACCGGAATAAATTACCAGTGAATAAAGATGATAATATTAATACAAATAAATAAAATGAAAATTAGAATAATGATAATTATTGTAAAAACAGTAATAAGAGTAAAATATCGTGCCAAGGAAGGCACGTTGGCGAGTGCGTGTGTGTAAGTGGGTGGGTGGTTGAGTGTGAGTGCATGTGTTGGTAGGTGTGCGTGTGTGTAAGTGGGTTGGTGGGTGAGTGTGCGTCGTGTGAAGTGGGTGGGTGGGTGGTTGAGTGTGAGTGCATGTGTTGGTAGGTGTGCGTGTGTGTAAGTGGGTGGGTGGGTGGTTGAGTGTGAGTGCATGTGTTGGTAGGTGTGCGTGTGTGTAAGTGGGTGGGTGGGTGGTTGAGTGTGAGTGCATGTGTTGGTAGGTGTGCGTGTGTGTAAGTGGGTGGGTGGGTGGTTGAGTGTGAGTGCATGTGTTGGTAGGTGTGCGTGTGTGTAAGTGGGTGGGTGGGTGGTTGAGTGTGAGTGCATGTGTTGGTAGGTGTGCGTGTGTGTAAGTGGGTGGGTGGGTGGTTGAGTGTGAGTGCATGTGTTGGTAGGTGTGCGTGTGTGTAAGTGGGTGGGTGGGTGGTTGAGTGTGAGTGCATGTGTTGGTAGGTGTGCGTGTGTGTAAGTGGGTGGGTGGGTGGTTGAGTGTGAGTGCATGTGTTGGTAGGTGTGCGTGTGTGTAAGTGGGTGGGTGGGTGGTTGAGTGTGAGTGCATGTGTTGGTAGGTGTGCGTGTGTGTAAGTGGGTGGGTGGTTGAGTGTGAGTGCATGTGTTGGTAGGTGTGCGTGTGTGTAAGTGGGTGGGTGGGTGGTTGAGTGTGAGTGCATGTGTTGGTAGGTGTGCGTGTGTGTAAGTGGGTGGGTGGGTGGTTGAGTGTGAGTGCATGTGTTGGTAGGTGTGCGTGTGTGTAAGTGGGTGGGTGGGTGGTTGAGTGTGAGTGCATGTGTTGGTAGGTGTGCGTGTGTGTAAGTGGGTGGGTGGGTGGTTGAGTGTGAGTGCATGTGTTGGTAGGTGTGCGTGTGTGTAAGTGGGTGGGTGGGTGGTTGAGTGTGAGTGCATGTGTTGGTAGGTGTGCGTGTGTGTAAGTGGGTGGGTGGGTGGTTGAGTGTGAGTGCATGTGTTGGTAGGTGTGCGTGTGTGTAAGTGGGTGGGTGGGTGGTTGAGTGTGAGTGCATGTGTTGGTAGGTGTGCGTGTGTGTAAGTGGGTGGGTGGGTGGTTGAGTGTGAGTGCATGTGTTGGTAGGTGTGCGTGTGTGTAAGTGGGTGGGTGGGTGGTTGAGTGTGAGTGCATGTGTTGGTAGGTGTGCGTGTGTGTAAGTGGGTGGGTGGGTGGTTGAGTGTGAGTGCATGTGTTGGTAGGTGTGCGTGTGTGTAAGTGGGTGGGTGGGTGGTTGAGTGTGAGTGCATGTGTTGGTAGGTGTGCGTGTGTGTAAGTGGGTGGGTGGGTGGTTGAGTGTGAGTGCATGTGTTGGTAGGTGTGCGTGTGTGTAAGTGGGTGGGTGGGTGGGTGGTTGAGTGTGAGTGCATGTGTTGGTAGGTGTGCGTGTGTGTAAGTGGGTGGGTGGGTGGTTGAGTGTGAGTGCATGTGTTGGTAGGTGTGCGTGTGTGTAAGTGGGTGGGTGGGTGGTTGAGTGTGAGTGCATGTGTTGGTAGGTGTGCGTGTGTGTAAGTGGGTGGGTGGTTGAGTGTGAGTGCATGTGTTGGTAGGTGTGCGTGTGTGTAAGTGGGTGGGTGGTTGAGTGTGAGTGCATGTGTTGGTAGGTGTGCGTGTGTGTAAGTGGGTGGGTGGTTGAGTGTGAGTGCATGTGTTGGTAGGTGTGCGTGTGTGTAAGTGGGTGGGTGGTTGAGTGTGAGTGCATGTGTTGGTAGGTGTGCGTGTGTGTAAGTGGGTTGGTGGGTGAGTGTGAGTCGTGTGTGTGAGTGCATGTGTGGGTAGGTGTGCGTGTGTGATTGCATGTGTGAGTTTATGTGCGTCTTTTATACAAGCGGTTTTTTTTTTTTAATCAGAACATTTAGATTACGAGAGATACAGACATCCCTAAATGCATTCCAGATTAGAATCCAACCATCACTTGCAGGATCTATCAAACAGTGACATTCCTTCCCACCGTTCATCATTAACGTCAGTCAGACTTGTTGATTGCTTCAAGTGACGTAATCGGCAATTGCTTGAGAGTCCTTCTTTTAAAAGGCAAGTGCTTTAACGTGACCTTTGCCCGCACATAATTTCCATAATCATTATGATTGTTATACATAATTTCCTAGTGTCATAGGTAACGTCATTTACCGTTATTGTTATTCATGCAAGACTAAGGCTAAATCTACGAAAAGTTCCACTGTTTTTATTTCATATCATTTTATTTCATTTTATTCTCATACCCGAAATTAGTGTATAACCGTTCATGCCATCCAATTAATCATATATCATTTGCATGACACTGAATTATGAAAATCAGTATTTACATTACCGATATCTTAGCCATGTTTATATCTAAAGAAACTCAAAATCAGATAATATATCCAAATATCAAAATAATGAAATTAAATTTAAGATTTTGGCTCAACTTATAGCAATCATATTTCAATTAACTGCAACAAACTTTTTTGTTATCCATTCCTCGGTCTTTAAATGCACATGGTACAGGCTGAATATTAAATTAAGTTTTGAGAAATATGAATAAGTTTGGCAAAAAAAAAAAAAAAAAAAAAAAAAAAAAAATATATATATATATATATATATATATATATATATATATATATATATATATATATATATATATATATATATATATATGTACTGTCTGTTTATCTACAACATAAATGTTTATTCCCTAAATTCACAGTTTAAAATCACGTTTTTTTTTTTTTTTTTTTTTTTTGGTTTTACGTTTTCTCATAACCACAAAGGAGATGTGGTTATACCGATTGTTTTAAGAGAAGCTAGAACAAGAAGAAAAAACATTATTAATGGGAAGACTGAAAAGGGATAGGGAGCGAGTGAAATTATAGTAATAACAGTAATAGCCATGATGAGTAATGGGATTCAGTCAGAAAAGGGGGGGGGAAGTGCCTGGCATTACGGTGATAACGGTGATAATAAAGGCAAATAATGTAATTGGCTTTGGGAGAAGAATGCAATAAGTAACTGAGTAGAAACGGTAGTAAATCATATACTTTTGCCAGATTTTTTTTTCCTTGCTGATTTCATTAGGTAACGATCGTAGTGAGGAATTTGCAGAGAAGCAGGACAGATAGGGTGTGTGTGTGTGTGTGTGTGTGTGTGTGTGTGTGTGTGTGTGTGTGTGTGTGTGTGTGTGTGTGTGTGTGTGTGTGTGTGTGTGTGTGTGTGTGTGTGTGTCTGTGTGTGTGAGTGTGTGTGTGTGTGTGTGTGTGTGTGTGTGTGTGTGTGTGTGTGAGTGTATGTGAGTGTGTGTGTGAGTGTGTGTGTGTGTGTGTGTGTGTGTGTATGTGTGTGTGTGTGTGTGTCCATGCATCACCCTTGTACTTGTAGACAAATCCAGGCGAGAATTCTTACATAGTGACATACGATTACATCCCGGCAATAAATGTCATTTGTATTTGCCTCTGATTAATAAGACTTTCATCCTGACAAATACCATGCTTTGAAACAGTGGCGTTCTTCTGTGGCTGCGTAAGTCTCTGTCGATGTCTGTGTCTGTATCTGTATTTGTGTGTGCGTGTATGCAATGTTCATTTTGAAGAAGAAATAATAAGGTAAATACACAGTTCCCATTAAGAAACAGGGCTTAATCAACATCACAGATTCACAACTAAGGACACCGCGGTTGTTCGAATGACCTACTTTCTCAAGCAGACTGTCCACCTTTTCATTGCCAACGACCTTGTTTACGATGCCAACCACTGAACCAACGGCGCTCCTTGCTGTTTCTGTGACCTAGAATGATGGATGAAGAGGTCAAAATGTTAGATTTTATTATAATTGGTGTATTTACTTTTATATTTGTTTTGTTTGTTTGTTTTGACACCAAACCTCCATAAACCTCCTTCTTCTTTGCACTCTCTCTCCCTCCTTCTCCCTCCTTCTCCCATTTACCTCTCCTTTCCTCTTCTCCTTTCTCTTCCACCTTCTCCCTCCGCCCCCCCCCCTCTCACATTTTCTCTCCCTCTCACCCTTCCTTTTCTTTTCCCTTCTCTTACCTCCTTCAAGAATATAGTCACAAAAGAGGCAATGGTATACCAGGTTCTTCTTTCTCCCCCCTTTCTTATCTTCCTTATCTTTCTTTTCCTCTCTCCTTTCTCCCTCTCCCTTTCCCTCTAACTCACCCTCTCCCCCCCCCCTCCTTCTCTACACTTCCTTTGATAAATGACATGTCGATCCCTATCATTTTCTTCATTTCCTCTCCTTCCTCCCCCATTAATTTCTTTCCTTTGAAAATCTCTTCCTTTCTCTCTCTCTCTCTCTCTCTCTCTCTCTCTCTCTCTCTCTCTCTCTCCTCTCTCTCTCTCTCTCTCTCTCTCTCTCTCTCTCTCTCTCTCTCTCTCTCTCTCTCTCTCTCTCTCTCTCTCCCTCCCTCCCTCCCCCCTTACTCTCTCTCTCTCTCTCTCCATCTCCCTCCCATTCTCTCTCTCCTTTTCCTCCCTCCCCTCCCTTTAGCTCTCCCCCTCCCTTCCCCTCCCATTCCTTCCCCCCTTCCCCCCTTCCCACACCCTTCTTATTCCCATTCCCCCCTCTCTCCCTCCTTCTCCCCCTCCCTCTTCTTCCTATCCCCTTCCCCTCTCCCCCTCCCATTCCCCTCTCTCTCCCTCTCCTTCCCATTCCCATCCCCTCTCCCGCGCCCCTCCCTTCCATCCCCTTTCCCCCTATCCCTCCCTCCTATTCCCTTCTCCCTCCTTCTCCTTCCCATCCCCAACCCCTCTCCCCCTCCCCCTCCCCCTCCCTCCCATTCCCCTCTCATTCCCTCTCCCATTCCCTCTCCTCCCCATCCCTTCCCCTCTCCCCCTCCTATTCCCCTCTCCCTCCCTCTCCCTCTCATTCCCTCTCCCATTCCCCCTCACCCCCCCCCCTCCACTCACCTTCCCCAAGAATATAGTTACAGAAGACGGCTGTGGCGTGGTGGCATCTCCATAAAATTCCTGAAGGCGAGAACAATCTACTGCAGAAGGCCAGTCGCAGGCGCTGATGGCCGGGTTGAACACCGTACCCGGACCGCACGCCTGCTCGAAAGCTCGTCCTCCAGCGCAGTTTAGGTATTTTGAACAGTCCTTTGTTAAGTAGATCATTGTCAGATGGATTATTAGCAGTAGTTGTGATGTGTATAATCATTAAAAAAAAAAGTTTAATAGCTATAATACTTACACATGATTTTTTTTTTCTTGTTATCAATTATTTTCCACTCTATATTCATAATTCCCGATTATATCACATACACAGTCCCATCACTGACCGCTTCGACATTCAAAATCGTTCACCTAACCTGAGGATGAGGGAAGAGACCGTTGGGGGAGGGACAGGTGGGGGGGCCTGGAGGGGGACGGGCACGCCGAGGGGATGGAGGGGGAGGACCCGAGTACAGCTGCGAAGACGACCTGGCTACCTCCCCCTCCCCCTCCTCCACCCCCTCCTCCTCCCCTCTCGCGTCTGGTCTCGCGAAATTGCGCCGAGACGTGGCTGTGGGAATTCAAAGCCGGTTGTGTTTAGCTCTGCATATAGATGTGTTTGCTTGTGTGTCTAGTTTTTCCCTCTAGAGTCTATTCATGTATATTTGTGTATACGCACGTATGCACACATACATAAGCCTATAGACAGATAGATAGATAGATTGATAAATGGACAGACATGATAGATATGAATAGATAAAAATAGACATAGATATAAAATAGAGACACACATAGCTAGACTTAAATCGACAGACAGACATACAAATAGATAGACAGATACACCAATACACACACACACCAAAACAAATAAACATATAACACAGCAAAATTGCGTTTTAATCCATCATGTTATTACTTAGCCTGGCAATCACCCTTCACAAATGTTCCTGTGACCTCGACAAGCCAGGGATATCTGTCAACGCTGGTCAGAGGCGTGTAATATATTCATACACATTTTGTATTGCCCTTTTTATTTTCCTTTGTTTCTTTATTTATTCGTGTGCTATAAGGCCTTTTATTTGTTCGAAGTATTAACCATTTATTTATTTATCT